AAAAGAAAAGAAAGAAAGACATCAGAACAGTAAAGAACTAGTTTTCCAAAATCTAAGCATGAATTTAACTCAGAAGATCAGTACAAACCCAGCCTGGTAGTGTATGGATGTGATTCCAGATACTGGTGAGGCTGGGTCAAGAGGATCTGAAAGGCAAGGCCTGTAATTTTCTTTTTTCTTATTTAGGTGCTGGGAACTGAATCCCAGGCTTTGTGTACCTTTTTTCGGGAGGGGGGAACAAGGACTCATTAAGATATTAAATAGAGCTTGGAATTTTTTTTTGGGGGGGGGGGTTTGGCATTCTACTTGTTAATTGTCCTCAAAACTTTCCTCCCCGTGTTGACACTTTTTCTATGACATTCAAACCTAGTGGTTGTTAAGTACAAGGCACAAACTCTTAAGACTGATAAATCAACTACATTAAAACTTTTAAATCTTATTTACTGTAAGATACCAAAAAAGTGAAGACAACACATGTGGTAGACATGATTTGTTACACAGAAAACTAACAAGTACAGGACAATGAGAAAGAGGATCCTGCGACAGTGCAGACCAAAGTTCTCCAGAAAGAGTTAGTGAGCATCCCTGTCTGTCACTGGTGAATGCTGCTTGAATGCAGAGGAGTCACCCTCTGTCTCACACTCCTTTCTCTGTGTGAGGTACCAGTGCTTTTGGAGAAACACATAAGAAACAAAAATAAATTAAAAATAAATTACAAGCTTATCCACACATGATAGGGTCCCTGAAGTAGAGGTGATGCAGAACTTAATTTTCCTTTCCTTTCCTACCCTGGGACACAGGACCAGACACTGCTTCCATGTCCATTTCCTGTATTTGAACAAGGCTTCAATCAACCATTCGATTATGGTCTCTCACAGCCTTCTGCAGACTTACACTAGGTGAGAGGTGATATTCATTAAGGACTTAATGCATTTAATTAGGGGAAGATATATATTTGTTTTCCCTTTCCCAGATGGCAAGGTTTTCATTTTTATTTTTAGTATTTAACTTTTATTATAATCTTTATATTTGAAAAACTGAGAACTAAATTATATTCATTTTAGTCATTGCTGTGAGCTTTTGCATTATTAGAATCACATTTGCGGGGGTTGTTTTGTATTCAAAGAGGACATCAGCCACTTGATAGATAAGCAGCCATGTGGTGTATATGTGTTGAGGGGTTGGAGGAAACTTCAAGAGAAAAAGTAAGGAAGCACAAATACCAGGAAAAGCCTCCTTAGGTTCTGACCAGCTCCAGAAGAAGAAAAAAACAAAACACTGTACCGTTCTGAACCAGGACGGGTGAGCAGACCCAGCCCAAGCACCATGGCGACATAGGGACTGCTGCTGGCTTGTGGTGTTTTGTTTTTTGAGACAAGATCTTATTCTGTAGCCCAGGCTGGCCTTGCATTCATGGCAACCCTCATACCTCAGCTTCTTAAGTGCCAGGATTATAAGTGCCAACACACTTAACATATTGTGGGATAGTATCATAGTTTCATTTTCTATTTTTTTGTGCTTTTAAAAAATATTTCTCGGGGCTGGAGAGACGGGTCAGCGGTTAAGAGCACTGGCTACTCTTCCAGAGGTCCCAGGTTCAATTCCCAGCACCCACATGGCAGCTGACAACTGTCTGTAACTCCAGTTTCAGGAGATCTGATGCCTTCATACCAATGCACATAAAATAAAGTTAAATGAATTATTTAAAAAAATAATTCTCTTGTATATGTGTTTGTGTGCATATGCCATGTGCAAGCAGGATCCTGAAGTGAGCAGGCTAGACTTCCTGAAACTGGAGTCATAGTTATGACCTGCCATTGGGTGCTGAGGACCAAACCCAGGTCCTCTGGAAGAACAGTAAGTGCTGTCAAACACCCAGCCATCTCTCCAAGCCCCTTTTATACCTTGCCTTAAGCAGGTTTCATGTAGCCCAGGCTATCCTTGAACTAGAGATACAGCCAAGGATCACACTGAACTGTTGTTCTGGCTCCATTTCTCATGTGCTGGGACTACAGGCACACACCACCACGATGGACTTGAACCCAGTTTCATTTCAAAATACAATCCCAGGCTGGGAAGAGGGCTCAGTCCATACAGTACTTGCTTTGCACACTTGCTTTGACCTGAGTTCAGATCCCCAACAACAATGTAAATGCTGTCTAGGTGATGCTCATCTATGATCCCAGGGCTGGAGAAGCAGAGACAGGTGGATCCCAGGAGCTCACTGGCTAATCAGCCTGGACATGTCCATGAGCTCTGGGTTCAGAAGCAGACTTTGTCTCAAAAAAGTGAAGTGTGATTGAGGAAGACATTTGGCATCAACCTCTGTCCTAAACACACACCCACAAGAACACATTATAACATACAGACACAATTTCAAAACTTGTCAAAAATTGGAAATCCATTGTTTCTTTCATATTCAATTTTCTCTAACAGAAATTCTTTACTTTTTTGGTCAACTTCTTCTTGAGAGAATAGATTGAACTTTGGAATAAAATAATGCATCAGTTTCTCTGTCCTGAGGCACTCAACAAAGAACGCCAGGAACTCATCAAAGCAGGTGCTCAGTTGCTTGGGGTCCCAATGACTGTCTTGTGGGTTCTCAGTCCACATGTGAAAGATTGCAGTTTTCACATAGTAAGAACAGAATTCATCTAGTTCTTGGTACTCTTTTTTCAACTGTTCCAAAAGGTACTTCATTAATTTTAAACAGTCTTTCCTGTTAAATAAAAAAGACAATAATTTTTACTTATTTGCAACCTGCCTCTTTTGAGACAGATCTCTCTTTGTAACCCTGGCTTTCCTAAAACACACAGGGGTCCACTGCCTCTGCCTCCCAAATACAAGTACTGGAATTAAAGATGTGCACCACCTTGTCTGTCTTCTTCCTTTTTTAAACATACTTTCTTCTTTATTTCCAATTTTTTGAGGCAGAGTCTCATATAGCTCAGATTGGCCTTAAACTTGTGATGTAGCAGAGGCTGGCCTTCAACTCCTAATTCTCTTCCCCCTCTCAAGTGCTAGGATTATGGTGTGTACTACCATCCTTGACTCAGTCTCACTTCTTGACTGTGTATATTCTAACAAGAAAAATGACCCACTTAGTGTGATTTCAAGTTTGGCCAGTCAGTTCCTAACAGCAACAAAGCTGTTCCATCCCAAAGCAGCCACCACTATCTAATAAGAGTCATCCTTTGGCCTCTTCACCTTTCATGAAAATAATAGACTCAATCAGCCAGGTGTAGTGTGCATGCCTATAATTCCAGCACTTGGGAGGCTGAGGCAGGAAGATCATAACGAGTTCAAGATCAACAGGCTACCGAGTGAGTTCATGGCCTGAGCTATACAGGGAGATCCCAGAAAAAATATATATATATTATATTGTGTTTATACAGTATGTATTTATACATACTCCTCTGTTTCCTGTCCTTCCTCCCTTCCTCCTTCCCCCTTGCTCTCTACCCAAAATCATTCCAGCACCACCCTTCTCCCAACCCAGCCCAGCAATAATCACCCTCACATCTGGGCTGTGGTGCCAAGAAAGCATTAAATATTAATATCATAGATAATTTGCCATTAAAAAAAAGGACATTACCTGCAACATTTCACTCCAGCAGATTCACAACATGTTTTCTCTATCCCATGATTACTCAAAATGTATTTTTCAGTGTGAGAGAAAGAGAGGCGCCATGTCTTGCCTTAATTTCAGAAAGAAAAACAGCTATTTTACTAAAAGAAGCCATAGGTAAATTATACAATATTTAAGTTTAGATCATACACTAAAATATCATCCTGAAGAAATTCAAGAGGAAGACAGACCAAATGAAGTGAACAGATACACAAAGTAATAATTAAAATAAATATATAGCGCCGGGCGGTGGTGGCGCACGCCTTTAATCCCAGCAGTCAGGAGGCAGAGCCAGGCGGATCTCTGTGAGTTCAAGGCCAGCCTGGGCTACAGAGCGAGTTCCAGGACAGGAGCAAAGCTACAGAGAAACCCTGTCTCGAAAAACCAGAAAAAATAAATAAATAAAATAAAATAAAATAAATATATAGCAAAAGTGGGTCTAGATGGAGAAATAATATACTTAGCCAAGGTCAGATACATTATCTCTTAGAGTGTGCTAAATGCATCTCATAATATTTTGCTTCTCTGATGGTTTAACTTCCCCAGAGTCTTTCAAGAAGCTTTGATTTGCACAGATGAGCTGCTAAGCAGATTTCAAGAGGCTGCGAAACTAACACGAGGTCGCAGAGCTAGTCAAGAGAAAGCCTTGAGATTCAGAACCACAACAGTGTGACCCAAGGCAGCACTGTCTTCACTTAAGCTTTAGATGGAGTGACTCGTGGACACTAGAAAGTGAAGTCATCATTGTTCTGTGGCTTGGGAAGTGTTTTGAGACAGGGTCTCATGTAGCCCAGGTTGGCCTCCCACTCACTATGTAGCCGAGATGACCTGAAACTCTTGTTCCTCCTGCCTCTGCCTCTGCCTGCTTCCCCTCTTGACAACAGTATGGTAGCCACAGATTTCTCAGTTCTAGCTGGCCACGCTCATTTCGTGGCCCATTTAGCCTGATAGCTCTGGGAATGCCAGCACACTGGTGGGCCACTGAACTTTTGCTGCCTTTGCATGTCACAGTAATGAGCCTTCTGCATCCTTCCCATTAATCTTCACATTTTAACAAACCTTGAAAACCATTTCCAACTTTTGCATTCTTGGGCACAAGATAAAATGGTTCTTGTCTTAGTTTGGTCCTAACTTTTGTGCCAAGCCAGTTTTTGATGGGTAGTCCTTCTTTGGTACTAATGGGCCAGCTGCCTCTTGATTCCAAAGCCAGAATTATATCCACAGATATTTCTTCCGGGTTTCTGATAAGAAGTGTTACAGCAGGGCTTCCTGGTTTTTCCTTCTCCACACTGACATCAATACCTGTTTACACATATTGAAGAAAAGAAAGAATTGATCCATTTTCTCTGGAAATATGGAAAAGTTACAGAATTATAATTTAAAATCTATAGCCTAAGCACTAATTAACACTAACCCCAATATAGAACTACACCCCATGAGGCATAGTGTTTTACCATGTAACCAACAGTTAGCTATCTGGAGACACTGTCAGGATTCTGTCTAGGACCAGTGATGAAGCATTCCTAAAGACTTTGAGTCTGGGAGTGCTGTAATTAAATTTTCATTTAGAACTTTAAATGTTACTTTGGAGAGAAGCCAGCAAAAGCCACAT